CAGAGAGAAATGACGCCGAAATTTCTCGGATAAAATATTTCGCTCACTGTACAGTTATAATAGTTACAGTTAAAATTAGTTTTCCGAGATATTACAATTAAATTAAATTAAGAAAATTATCGCCTCAACAATCGAATAATTTACAGACCTCGCATTCGATCTCCCTGCAAACTTTTCTTCGTACGCCAGGCAAGCCGCGGATCCGGCCGCATCTATTTTAACGTCATCTTTATTTACAGGAACAGCACGATCATATAATTGAGATATCTTGCGCTAGTGGTACCGTTGAGCTTCGTGCCGCCGCCGTTTTCCTCGTCGTTCTCGCTGGCAGTGTCGCCCTTCGTCTCGACGATGGTGTCGAGCCGTTCCATCGCGCCCCTCTGGGGATGATAATTGCTCGAGCTCTCGCTCTCGGGGGTCTCGTCAGAGTCGATGTCGATCATCCGATCGTTTACCTGGATCTTTACCACGGCGTCCACCGGGTACTTCCCGTTGCCTTCGTCGCTGGAACCGGATCTGCCGGCGGAGCTTGACGTAATCCCAGCCTCCCGCTCACAGCGCGGGCAGACCTGACCGTTGGACGAGCCCTCGTCGCTCTGGCAGCGAAAGCAGATCAGGTCGCCCTCGCTGGAGAAATCGCAGTGCTCGCAGTGCATGACGATGTAGCCGTTACCTCGGCAGAGCTTGCAGATCGGGCTTTCATCGCGGACGTCTGTGAGCAGATCGTCGGGTTAGCTCGATGGTTGCCACGATCTAGGATCGTCGCCTGATTGTTCTAAGAGGCCATCTCCGACAGCGGCAGCCGTCTCGGAGATCGTGCGAAACGTCAGCAAGAAATGCGAATGCGCAAGCAGCAGCGAAATCATTGGGGCCAAAATGCGAAGTGGCGAACTGTGGTTTGGAAAATTGAAGAAAAATATACAAATGCGTGCCAAAAATAGAATAAAAAGAACAAATACTACGTGATTTTTTAGATACAAATAAGTGAAGAGATCAGAGTGACTTTTTTTTAATCCGTTAAAATTATCTCGCAAGCATTTTAAGTTAACTACGTTAGATAATAACATCCATTCTCGTAATAGAATTAAAATTTAAAAGTTTCAATAAAGATTTAGAATCTAATAGCAATAAAGGATTAAATCAAAGAAAGATTTTTTTGCTAGAGACAAAATTCCAGAATGCGAGTGCGACGATTGAAAACGTTGTCCATATACCAGACGGTGGGAAAACAACGAATCGTCGAGGAACATCGAGGCCATTCAAATTAATTAAGCAAAGCGAACAAACTTGTTCAATCCTCGGACCAAAACTGGTCGAGGTACTCGCCTCTGTCGACGTCACCTCGATCGTCCGTGTCTCTGGCGGTCCGTCCGCGTCGTTGCTGCTGCTCCTGCGTCCGGTAGGATCGAGGTGACGTTACCGGCATTGGCTGTTCCGGATCGTGGTACGATCGCGGCGAGGACGTTTGCGACACACGATCCTGATCTGGATGATACGAGCGTGGGGAGGACAGCTTCACCGGGCTTTTGTAGGCACGAGAGGTTCCTGGCTCCTGATGCCGATCGTCCATACGCTCCTCCACGTATCTGCCGGCACACGAGCCAGGTGTTTGCGGTCGGTAGGTGCAGGTACGCGTCTTCTGATCGCACTCGCTGCACAGCAGCAGGTTTGACTTGCTGCCGGGCTGCGAGACATAGCCATTGCAGGTACCATAGTAACGCTCGTCCTCGTCGCTCTCGAACAAGTACTGGCTCAAGCTACCGATCGACTTCGTGTCACTGAAGATCCTCGTGTCGTCCGGCTCCTCTTGATCGCCAACGCCATACCTGCAACAGCCGATGTGATCAATAATAATAATAAATTTTAATACAAACGTGCAGATTTAATATCTTACAAAATGGACAAATAAAGAAAGAAAATTTATATACAAAAGGAGAGACGTCGACAATACTATTGCTGTGGTAATCGACTGTAAAGTAATATAAAAAAATAAAAAAAGAAAAAATAAAAGAAGAAAAAAATAAAAGAATTTTATAAAAAATTAATTGCAATGAGTGTGTCATTTCATAGAATTATATTAAATATTGTAAACGTTTGTTGTTAAAATTATCCACGCAAAAATTATCCACTCTTTTTATACCGATAATTAGATCATTACATTTATAAACTAATTTATTTAACTAATTTACATTTATTAAACTAAATTTATTTATAAACTAATAAATTTGGTTTTTTAAATAATTTAAATATTCATTTTATTCTGCACATATCTCATATTATTAAATTATTTTAATTTAAAAAACGTATTCACTAAATAATTAAAATTATATTCTTTTAAAATTATAATTAATTATATTTAATTATATTTATATGTTAAAAATCATATTTAATTTTAATATACAAAATTTCGATTTACGCATTAATGTAAAAATTGATTATGCTGGAAAGAAGTATTTTGCGCTACCTATCAGCGGCTCCGACAAGGTAATGGCATATTCGTTCGATCTTGGTCTTGCCGCGCTCTCGCGGCATTGTTTCTCGTTAAATAATGCTCTCCCGATTTCTCTCATTGTTGTCTTCGACGCTAGAAGTCGAGCTCGCCCCGCAGATCTGCATCTCGATTTCGGCCAGCCGATGCTCGACCTCCCATTGCTGCTGGTTCAGCTTGATGCTCATCGCCGCATTCTCGGTCTCCAGGCATTTCAGGCGCTCACGTAGACGTTGAATTTCCGCCAACAGAGCCTCGTGAGTGCCAAACAGAGGTGTCGCACCTTCGCTCACCAGCTGCGTCATACTGTTACAGGTCATACCTGAAATAAGACAGGTCGTTGTAGAGACATCTTTTCATATCTTTCACAAAATTATCACTCATCTTTCACAGAAAAAAATTAGTCTTAAATTAAGGCAATTCTCATATACAAACGAGAATATTACAATTTTTTTAGAAAAATTTTCGCCTTGATTGAATTTGTATTAATACAACTATAAATACTATGTATATAAGCAAGAATATTATAATCTTTATATTTAGAAAATTTTTCTAGAGTTGAGCAAAACAATACTTGCATCAATACGAAATTTAATCAAATCAAGATACACCAAAATTTTTCAAGAGATTATAATATTCTTGCTTCTGAAAATATAAAAATATTTTTCTTGATTTAAGGTTCATTTTCTTGTGTACATGAAACCTAAATATCCTTACGATGAACAATAATATCCAGAGGTTTGGTAATCATATAATACAAAAAAATACAAAAACGGATGAACGAGCAGACGAAATGCCCGATCACGAATTGTGAGCTCGTTTTATTCTCCATTCCCCGTCTAATATGGAGATCGCGTTCCAGCGAGAGATACTTAGCATTATAATATATAATGTGAATGCGGACTTTTGTCTTTCAGTCCGCCGCTATGGTACAAGCGCGCGCAATTATCGATCGTTGAAAGTTAGATGAGAGGAGGTTGCTCAGAAAGAGCAACAAACGAGTTCCGCACTTAACAGTGCCGGCCTGTACGAATGCGAAATGAATTCTCGAGCGCGTCCACGCGGGTCTTTGTGATTCGCTGATGTTGATTAATGCGCGCGATTAGTATTTCTCTCTTGCAGCTCGGTTGCACCAGCGCGATAATAGAATTCGCATGCAGGATGAACCGCCAGCCCTCCCCACGTCGCATCGAGGGGTACAACGCGTACTGATACAACGTACGCGAATTAGCATTAGCAAACTGCTAACTAATTCACGAATCACCGGGTATACATCCGACAGTCCGGCCTGGGTATTGTCTGGAGATCCGTCTTGATCGTGTCACTCCTCGCGTCGACGCTCGAGCGGCACGGGGGATTGTCGGCTCCATTTCGGGAGAGATCGCTTTTCCATTTTAACCGTACCCAGGGGTGAGCGATTACAACGTGGTGATATCTCGTCAGTTAAATCAGTATCGGCTTGCAGTCGATTCGCGTTCCGATTTGTTGCCGCCGGCAGCGAAATCTGTCGCTTTAATCGGGGAGGTGGGACCGCATTTCGCGAATATACACACGCTCGCTCCAAATACGCGGAAACGCTCGATTACCAATGGAATTTCCAGTGTGTGAAGGCGCGGGATTTTATTTCCCAAACGACATATAAACGTCGGCAGAAACACGTTAAATCGTTACTACCTTTCGTATCTATCGGGGTTAATGGTCGGGGGGGAGGAGGGGGAGGCCGCTATTTTACGAGTGGCGCCGAGCGTCGCTCATCATTCATTATCCCCGCGATATTTCTGAATTTACCTTTTCGCCGATAAACGCCCGCCGTTTATTCACGTCCGGTTAGATTCGATACGCAATGAGATCACATCCCGCGGAATTCTAATCCGATCGCGGCGCGGATGCGACCGAATCGCCCCAACGTTCGTTCATCAAGGCGCAATGAAGTTCTCTTCCGGCAACGCGAACAACACATCGCACCGGTTCATCAATCTTCCTCCTCATAAGCAATAAACAATTAAAGCTTATATTCGAAAATATAACAATTAAATTCTTCCGAGATAAATGAATCGTAGCGATACAAATAATAAAACGCGTCTCTAGGAATATCATGAATAATGACAATTTCCATAATGTTGCCGAGAATCTGGGGGAGGGGGGGACGGGGAGGGTTTTATATAGGTGCTTCTGCATGCGTTTCAGAGTCTTTTGTTCTGGAAATATCTCCGGGATGGAACCTTATTACAAAACGTTCAATCGAACGTAACGACATTGATGGTTTATGGTACAAACATTACAGGGCCTTTCTAAAAAAGCTTTTATGGAACGTGAAATATTGATGACTAGAAAGTGAGAGGCTATGAAGGTCCTCCTATTCTCTCCGTGTTCGCGCTTCACTTAATCGCGAAGTCTTATAGTCTATAAGAAACTACGGTTTTGCGTCAGCAGTTTGTGCGCGAACACACAGTAAGCTCGGTTATCAGCAATGATTTATATACCTTGGCGTAATGCTATCGCAAAAGAATCGCCAAAGGCAGCTAGGAAGATCGATAATATTTTTAAAATAAATCCGATGTAAAATTCGTTCTACACGGATGAAACAAATTTACGGCATATCGAGCACGATTGGGATAGGATAAACTTTCCATCGCGTTTGCAGCATTTTATCGATGATCGGAAAATGCAATTTACGTAATTACTCGATGTTTCAAATGCTTGAACAGAAATATTTTCATAACTCATTATATCGAGTCCACTCCGACTTTGAAGATGTATTTGCTTTGATCCTCGTATAAATAATCATAGACCGACAAAATTATTAGAAACATATAAGAATTTTTTAATGATATTTTTTTCACGATTAAATTTTGATATTTAATAATTATTTCTTAATTTATGTAGAGTATAGAGTTAATTCGATTCGAGGCTTTATTTATTTTTAATTGTCAAATAAATATAAAATGCAAATTAATATTTTATTATTCTTCGTTTCACTGATAATCCAAATTTCCATTGATCAGCTTTGGGTATCGATTTTTTGAAGTATGACGCAATAGTTATAGCCACCACTGGCAAAACCATAAGAGGATTACGAGTTGCGATTTGTAATATAAATATACCAGGTATACATTATATAATATATAGAAATACAACCAATGTGAGAGATTTATCCATCCGATCGCCAGAATCCTTTTTAAAACGTAAAAAGAAATTTCAATATTTTTGAGAGAGAAGGAGCACAAATCTGGCCAAATTCAGAGGAAAAAAATATTCTGATTTTCTGTGGCGTGAAGTTGAAGGAGGACAGCTCACCGGAGTGGGTGGACTGTCTTCCGGTGGAAATTTGGGTGGCGGCTGATGGCTGCACCCTGGCCGTTTGATCCTCGCTGCTAGGACCACTGCTGGCCCCGCTCATCGGACTCTCCGTGCTCCTGGGCACGTTATTCGCGTCGGTGGTCACCCCGCCCACCACGGTACGAGACGTCACTGGGCTCGGACTCGGCGAGAACAACGAGGCAGCCGTCGAATATGCATGGGTCTTGAGATCGATCGGCGATATCCACATGTCCTCCAGCGACACGCGACCTCGCGACTCCACCAGACCCGGTGTGCTCTGGCATCTGCCCATGGCAACTGGAAATTCACATTTTGCTTTAGCGAGTTATTCATTTTACAGAATGAAACGCATCGGCTTTCAGTAATACGATACATTTAATTTGATTATTTATCGAAACATCGAAACAATTTTATTGTTTTATACATTAACGGCTTAAATTGATTAATTAATAATGTTTTTGTTAAAGTCTGTGGGAATAAAGACGGCGGGTTTTTAAATTGATTGCAGATTCGAATATTCCTTCTCTCAGTTTGTCGTTGTAAAAATGATAATGGAATTAAATACATTGAGAGATTCATTCATCATTACAGAGTGAATACAATGGGCAAGAGTCATGTAAAATATGCAGCTTTGCTAAAAGAAATTTAAGAGAGAGACATATTTAATATGTCTGTTTCTGGCAACGCATTCTGCGTGTCGAAAAAGATTAACATGACCAAGATAATGATTAATTTCGCAAATTCGTTTTAACTTCGTTTTAATTAACGTGAAACAGTATATTACTGTGTTTCGCTCCGAGCTTCGACGAAATCTGTTATCGTGCGAGGTTTTATTTACCGCAACGAGCCGACGATCTAAAAAGAGAGTTGCTCTTCATTGATATCGTTGGTGTACGTTTTTCCATCTTGTTGGAAGTAAAATCTCCGTTGTGCGCGAAAAGTCCAACCGAGGAGTTATCAGTATTTTCGAAATACGGGGAAACAACGAAGGGAAGCTGGCCATTTATTTAGGATATCACTCATTCGCGATGCGAGTTATTCATCGTGTTTACGCACGTCGTGCCTGATACGATCTGTACGTGCTCTCGAATTTCCGTTTTCGGATCGCGTTGACATTTAACCGACTGACAGTATTCAGTGACATCAATAGTACGCTATTTCACTTTGATGCGAATCCTCCGATCGTCGAACTAAATGCATAATCCTTCCGACTCCGTTACCGATTCCGTCTTGCGAGAGTATTATAATGAAGGTATATTCGCTTATATATAATCGCTTAAGGAATTTCGGATTATTACGGTGAAAACCCATTTTAGATGACACGATAATTTGTGTAAGAATTCAGAATAGAATTTCGTATTTTTATACGCCATGTATAAAATTAAAAACGAAAAATATTTGAATAATTAAAAATTAAAAAGAAACATGTAAAATGTACTGAATGTTTTTTCACTAACGGATTCTATGTTATCTTTTAAGATAAAAATCCTTATAAATATTGAGATTGTAAAAGTTTTTAAACAAAAATCGTTTAAAGTTTATCAAATTTTTAATCTTTTTGCAAAAAATTTGAGCGTTAGATATATTTCGCATAGCAATGAAGATAGTTTTATACAATGATTCACTATGGTTCGCCTACTCAGGATACACTTCATAATTTTAATGATACCGAATCCGACTTCAATTAACAGAATTTAATTTAATTTGAATTACTGTGTTTACTATTAATCCTTATT